TTATGTACCAGTTGCTATTCAATTACATGTTGTTTGTAATGTCAATCTGCTTGATAACGGTGTAAGAATCTACATCTACATTTTCAAATAAAACATAATGTCAAATACTATGTCCTTTTATGATAGATCTCATGTCTAAAATTATGATATCTGACAGTTTCATTATTTTTTATTTTTTTTTAAGGAGCAGTTCGAAAAAAACTGTCAGCGGCAACAACCAAAAGACCTAAGACAAGAATATTTTCAAGAAATACAATATTGTTCAAATAACACTGATAAAAAAGAATTAAATAGTTCACTTGATTAACTTGTTGTGTTGTTTATATATAGAACTGAAGGTGTTGTGTCTTGTACCTCATTGTGTATATAACTAAAGGAGTTTTGTCTTGTACATCATTGTGTATAGAACTGAAGGTGTTGTGTCTTGTACATCATTGTGTATAGAACTGAAGGTGTTGTGTCTAGTACCTCATTGTGTATAGAGCTGAAGGTGTTGTGTCTTGTACATCATTGTGTATAGAACTGAAGGTGTTATGTCTTGTACCTCATTGTGTATAGAACCGAAGGTGCTGTGTCTTGTACCTCATTGTGTATAGAACTGCAGGTGTTGTGTCTTGTACCTCATTGTGTATAGAACTAAAGGAGATGTGTCTTGTACATCATTGTGTATAGAACAGAAGAAGTTTTGTCTTGTACATCATTGTGTACAGAACTGAAGGTAGAGCGTCTTGTACCTCCTTGTGTATAGAACTGAAGGTGTTGTGTCTTGTACCTCATTGTGTATAGAACTGAAGGAGTTTTGTCTTGTACCTCACTGTGTATAGAACTGCAGGTGTTGTGTCTTGTACCTCATTGTGTATAGAACTGAAGGTGTTGTGTCTTGTACCTCATTGTGTATAGAACTGCAGGTGTTGTGTCTTGTACCTCATTGTGTATAGAACTAAAGGAGTTTTGTCTTGTACATCATTGTGTACAGAACTGCAGGTGTTATGTCTTGTACCCCATTGTGTATAGAACTGAAGGTGTTGTGTCTTGTACCTCATTGTGTATAGAACTGCAGGTGTTGTGTCTTGTACCTCATTGTGTATAGAACTTAAGGAGTTTTGTCTTGTACATCATTGTGTATAGAACTGAAGGAGTTTTGTCTTGTACATCATTGTGTATAGACCTGAAGGTGTTATGTCTTGTACCTCACTGTGTATAGAACTGAAAGTCATGTGTCATTTTGTAATATCATTAATAATTGTTTCACTAAAACGATTACCATATAACAATCACATCTAGAACTAAATGTGTTGTGTCTGTATACTTGCCATTGAACCAAATGCGGTTTGTCTAAATACACAATGACATATACATCTTAAGTGTATACCTGGAGTACCTCTATATACTGAGAGACATATACAGCAGAATCTTTAATCCATTACATGCAACTACATGTGTTATATTTAAACAGCATGACATATGGACCTGGATGCCTTCTGGTTAAACACGATTGCATACAGATCTCGAGGTGTTGTATGACATACAAAACCGTGACGTGTTGTTTTACTGCATGCCCAGAAGCTGCATATATTTGAAGGTGTTGTGTCTTTTAACTACATAACATATAAGGTGTTTATTAAAAGATATAGACATTGAGATGTTGTCGTTAAATAACTTGACATATGGACCCCAGAGTGTTGTGTTTAAAAAAATAGCTTATTCCATATAGAACTGAAGGTGTGGTTTTATTGTACACGGACCTGAAGCCGTTGTATTAGACAACATGAAACATAAAACCGAATGTGTTGTGTTTTATTCTTTATAACAGAGAACAGAGTGAATTATTTACATCATAACAAAAGAACAAAGGTATATGTTTAGAAAAGCACTATCAATCAGCGATGGTATCTCTCATAAACACACGAAACCGTGAGCTAGTTGTTCACCCGTAAAGGTACAAGGACGTATAGTACAAATGACAAACACTTCCATCGCACATCATTTATGTGACTGTTTCGTCTAATTTGGAAATTTACTCAAAATGTCTATCATAAAACTTTTGAAAACTTTACACACGTCTGACATCTTATTCTTTAATTTGCTTTTGAATAATTATATTAACAGACTGTATAGCCTGGGATCGAGTCCATTCCCTGAAAGTGTTGTTAAAATCCTCCACAACATAGTCCTCGCCATGAAGAATTGTCTCCCTTTAAACAAGGATACCAAGGATATGTCAACGTGTGTGAGGGCTCGTGCCTGCGTGCGTGCATGCGCGAAGATAATGCATGAGAAATTAAACCTTCGTAAATTGCAAGTTGTATAATGATACAATTTGTATTGAAGACACTTTAGTCAATAAATATTCAAACTTTTTTCTATAAATATTAATAGACAATATACTTCTTCAGATTACAGATAGAACTGCTGTGGAAAAAATAGACGCTTCAGCGCATCCACATTCCTGACAATAAGTTAAAAAGTCACAGCAACATATTGATATGAATATGAGGGATTGTCATACCAAAAACTGCAACGTCACAGACGTTGAGGGGCAGCTGTGATGAGATTCCTCCCTCGCCACGTCAGGGTGGAATGAGGGATTAACACCAACACACCGTCGTTCGCTGTAATCCTCCTCTCGCCAAACTAATAGCGTATTTACGCGAAATATAGATAACTTCCTTTTAGACAAAGCAATTGCTGTTAATTTTCAATATTGTTACCCCCGAGTTTGTAAGAAGATCCATCCCTAAACCCGCACGATGAACCTCAGATTAACTCGGTAACAAATCTTTCGCTAGATACTGTATCATGAACATTCTACAATTGCTGTGGAGTTGTGTGTGTCTGCGAGGAGACAATGTCTACCGGCACAGATGGCACATCTTTTTGACGTTCAATTAGGCTTCTATACTATAACAATTTAAATGTATAAAATATTTTCTCTTTAAAGCATTCATGTTACTTGCCTTCTAACCTGTTTACATGGAAATAGACATAATGCGTTCGTGCATCCAGTCCTTGAAATGGATAATTGAAACCTACAGGTGATATTTATCAAGCGTTATTTGTAACGTCCCTATGATATATTATTCATTCTACCATGACTTCAGATAAACACTGGATTGTGATTGGCTTATCAAAGTCATTCAGAGGTATATAATCACGTTATATATCTCTCTTTGATTTTCTGGAACTCTCTCCCTATCACCATTAAATCAGCAGTTGACTTTTATTCCTTCAAACGACTTCTCAAGACTCACCTGTTTTCACTGCATTATGACTAGCAACTAGTCCCTTATTGTATATATGTATTATTATCCACTCACTTTGTTAGCGCTTTGAGCATGGGCCTTGTGCATGGAAAAGGCGCATTATAAGTTCACATTTATTATTATTATATTATTTTCCAGCTCAGTATGTATTGTTTTTAAATCTTAATAACGCGGTTATGGTACAATGGAGATAAACGTACTGTGTTGGAAAATCAGAGGTATATATCGAAATTATGATAGTTTTATTTTTTTATTAAGAGCTATTATAATTATATACCTCTGATTTTCAAATACAATATGTTTATCTCCTGATTGAACCTGCAGATAATGTGATCTATGCGAAAGATGAAGTTGCCACGTTCAGAATATCAGCTCATTAAGGTCAAGCGCACGTTACATTATAAACATCATATTTACACATGTATTTACGAGTCTGTTAGAAATCTAATATGCAAACCTGAAATAAGATGTTGTCACATACATTTTTATTCCATATGTAGTCTACGGGTTTTTGAACTTCAATAAACTTTCACTTCATAATTATTACTTATCGTAGTGTATGAGTAGACCTGGCGCCCATACATGGGTGCCAGTTCCATGTGTCCCGTTGTCTCGGTAACTTACTGCATTGTATTTGACATGGTTAAAATAAAAAGATCAGTTTTAAACATAGAATATGATCTATATGTTCATTTGTGTCATTTTTACTGCACATACTTCCGAAAAACTCCAAAAAAATGTAACAATGCCATATATACGGGATTCATGACAAATGTTATTTAATTTAGAAAATATAATATATCAACTGAGTGTTAGTTGATAGGTATTTGCCTAGGCTTCGGCGATATTTCTCACTTAAAAACAACAACATTTTCACAATACTGTAAGAATTATATGCATCAGAAACTTGTCGAAATCGTGTACGTATACATCGTGCGTATGGATACGTTTTCTATTGTGAACCGAAATACACAACCTGTTAATTCCTTTTTGGCATATTTATTCTCTGAGAAAAATAAGTTCCCCGGCTTATTTTAAAATTTATACTTGTACAGAGTTTTGCAGAATAATCAAAACTATATTTTTGATATCTCGAATCAAACCGGGCAATAGGCGAAGAAAAGACCCACTTCCGGCTATCAAATTTGCATACTTATGTCATACGGGTGTGACATATATGGTGTTATGTTATTACCTTATGTCACGGATAAACTCTTTACTTTAATGATAATTTTTTTTATTAATGTATTCTCAATAACAGCCTTCTTTGATTGTGGATTCTGAGAAGATAAACGCTTTGTAACGTTATTCTTTCAATTTCACTTGCATAACACATCTTAGTAACATTTTCAGTCAGTTCAGTTACAGGGGACGTCACATGAAAAAACAATACACCAACACGACACGTTCATAACGAAAACATTTCGGGTTTTTTATTTGTCATGTAGGTAGGGAAAATGGAAACTAACAATGTTAGAGTGAGTGAGTGAGTTTGGTTTTACGCCGCTTTTAGCAATATTCCAGCAATATCACGGCGGGGGACACCAGAAATGAGCTTCACACGATGTACCCATGTGGGGATTCGAACCCGGGTCTTCGGCGTGGCGAGCGAACGCTTTAACCGCTAGGCTACCCCACCGCCCCAACAATGTTAGAATCACTTCTCCGGGAAGAGGAAGAAGAAGAATATGTGTTCCGTTTTTGATTATACACTCCTACTAAAGAAGCACACGGAAAGTGGTTTGTAAGACGTGATTTATTTTGCTTATACATTCCTATCTCATACATCGATCAATTAATAAACAGTCATGATTTCAAAGCTGACACAAGTATCAGTTTTTCCTAAGGTATCAGTTTTACAGACGCTACTGGTTTTACATTGTGCCAAGATAAAATAGACAAAACAAAATGTAAAATAAGAGAAACGTGTACGTAAGCCTTATTAATATCCAGAAATGTTAAAATATCAATAATCAAACATATAAAGAGAACATTTTGTCGTCATTTAATACGATAATGCCTTTGATGGAATCTTTGAAAGTCATTTCGTAAAATGTTGAAATATTTGAAATTGTATAGTTCTCAAATGAAATTACAACCTCTCCGTGTCATCTCAGTAATCTTATCCAATCGAGAACAACTGGCATTCGGAAGACCATGGGCATCCATTTGCTTATAACTACAGAATTGTTCATTGTCTCTTCATGGGGAGTGGCAATTAATGAGATATGTTGATAAATGTCGTTACAAACAATTGCACTGAAAGTGTACCCTGTGTAAGTGAGCAATAAATGAAACATAGCTTTCTCAGTGCTTGAATATACCCTTAACATCTCCTCAATTCGAAAGAATGTCAACTGAACGTACCAGACTCGATTTTTGAAGGATATTAAGTATTAGCAATTGTTAGTCATGTCATGTATAATGGAACTACATTAAGATAATATCTTGCATTGCACTTACGTCAGTTTTCCATTAATATGTAGATATTTCAAATGTAGTTCTTCCAAACAGTATACAAAATACTTATAAATGGTTTAAGTGATTATCGTGATCTAATCTGTGCACATGACCTCTTTGTATGAAAGCTAATATACATACAAGCCACTAACATAAAAACTGACAACTGACATGAAACTACATTATATTGTCACTGGCAGTGAGAAAGAAAGTGATTCCAGATAATAATATGAACATATGGCTTACATAGTCTCAGATCTATGTCCAGCATGGATACATGCAAAATAAGTGGTTAAGTGAGGCGTGGGTAAGTTCATGAATATTGTGAGATCCTGAAGTCAGTCCGTACTGAAGGGCCTGCTGTTTCCGTTATGACACAGCAAGGTTCCTTCACATGAAGATAGTGTGTCCAGTACAACATATTCTGTAAGGATCCTTTAGTTCTTGGACATCTTGAAGTGAGAGGCTTTTTCGGTCTGATCAGAGAGCCATGTGGGTGGTTCTAGCCTGTTCTGATCTACATTTACGAATAACATTCAATCAATCACCTCAGAGATTCTACGAATAGCGCTAGTAACCATAGCACGGTGGCAGTGATTGTGTCATTTGTATGAATGAAACTCCAAAGACACAAGTTTCCGAAACACAACATTTTCCGTCATTTCCAGGACTATCAGGATCTTAAGCTCTGATTGCATGGACACTTGATGCAACACGAATGTCGTCTTCTTGGTATTTTCTGTGTTCAGCTTGACACACAAATATATCGCCTGCTACAAGTGTTGTATATCAGCTGGGGTAGAAGAGTCCATACTCCCCTCACTAGACATCTCTTCTGGGAAATTACTGTGTCCCCCTGTCCAACTTTGAAGCAGATCACTAAAGTCTGGAGGCTTGGAAGAGTTCAGAATACCCGGGGTTGTTGATTCAGATTTATGGTTATCCGTTGGCCGGTCACTACCAGGTTCCTTCCAGAAGGATTCTGGAAACGTACGGTCATGCATGGGAACCACATCAGTCTGTTTCTGGTCATCTAACTTCACTCGTTTTAATCTCTTAAATTTATTGTCTTTTTCTATAATAGAAGGTCGAAGACCGAAGTCAAACAGTTCATTAAGTGGACCTAGTCCTACCTTGGCATCAAGCTTTCCACTAAACCTATGCCTGTTATCAGAGTCAGTCTTCAGTGAGATCGGGGATACAACCTCCTTCGTTTTGGACACATCTACATCTCCTTGAGCCACTCTCAGAAGATCTGCGTAATACAGTTCACGCCCTGACTTGGTCGGCATCCATTTGTCCTCGTATATGTCACACGAATCTTCTTCGTTCTTATTCCGACCAAAAAACCTTTTGATATCTGCATTCACCATTTCTGTAAAGTCCAGTAATTGTTGGGTAATATTGGGTACCTTTTGTACCACTTCAACTCGATCAAGGTCGTCTTGGAGGTCTTCGGAATAGTGCGAGTCATGGTCACTGAAGTCGTCATCGTCTTCAAAATCGTTGACGTAATGATTGTCGACACCCCGTACATACGGTTCGTAGTTCTTTTTAAGTATGGTTGATGGGAAGTTATGTACCTGGATTGGTGGAGGAAGATGTGGAGCACTATGGACAGCCGCCATTACTTCCGTACCATGCATCCTCAGGACCACTCCCTCCAGGCTAGTCTAATTCAAACTTCAACATGCTGCTGAAAACGTCAGAGAATATTTTCCTGGAATCCCCTGTTGTATCACAATTCCACCTCCTGGTGTTATCAAGTCCTGCACTAAATGTCGACAGCTCCGGAAATCACCACCCACAGAGAGACAAATTTACTTGGAGCTGATGCTGGAGTCATTTCCTTCAGTTCGCCATGTGCTGCCTTCCGCTGTATATCCCACTGTGGTCGGTGTAGCGGTCACTATCAGATTGGTCTGCCTGGAACGAGAAACACAACTAATCAGTAAGCACAAACTAAACACTTAGGTCGTACATTAGTCCAATCTCCTTGTGATTCAACGTGGTAACATGGAGAGGGCTGATCAGCAGGGAAAAGACGGCTTGTTGTGTTGCCTGCCAAGGTTTCATTAATCAGCCGAGAGACCCCGACAAGGACTAAACCACTGCGGTCATACTCACAGATAGTATAGATCTGGACTTTGACCGGGATGTCGTCTGCTAGTAAAACATACCTGCATCTGCAACCGACGTTTCCACTTTGAGGCTAACACACGAATTTCTACTGCTATATTTCTATTCCAACAGTAAGACCTGGTTATATAAATTCCACAGCTATATCGTCTGCTACCGCTGTACGTGTGTGTGTCCTATTTTATCAGCTTGTGTCGTCTGCTGCCTGCTGACACTTGGCTATTGTGTTCTGTGAATTACATAGACATTTATAGCGGGAGATAAGCTGTAATGAACAGTTTACTGCTGCTGAACAATCGCCCCTCTTCCTAACTACGTCCAGCATGGAATCTGAGGAAAGACAGCAACTGAGAAGACGACACGTCAAACATTTTCCTGATGTATCAACTGCAGTAGAGGGAAGTAGAGGAAAGGAGAGGGAAAACTCTTGGGTTTTTAAGCTTAGGGAAGTACATTTTTAGATTGAGTCTGTGGGGATATTTTGCTAGGAACAGGGACAAATATCCTTGTGCGTCATAAGATTAACACCAACTGAATCATCAGGTCGACAGACCAACGGCCAACAATTACTCAAGACCGATCTGGATGTGCAATATCAAAATATATTTACTTCCGAGCGACCAAGTATGTTTGGAAAAGTAGAACCTGTAGAGCGAGGGTTTATTTCACAGTTGTTCATCAACATGGAGTAAGCGAACATGAGATAATTTACAGCCATTAATATACACAGCTATAACGGCAGAACGTGTTTCGATCAAACAAAACTACAATGGTCGAAGGGTCACGTTTGAAGCTGAAGCTCGTGACATGACCGTCTAATTCCTAACAGTGTGAGGAGTTATCTGTGGCCAGTTCGCGTAAGCCACCAACACAACCATTTCCCTTTCCGGTGCATCCTCCTGCTGCCACACGGGCGTGAAGGGAGGTACTTCTAGACTCATATGTTGCCGAGTCCCACATCGCAGTCGCATGTTGTTAAACTTTCAATATGCACGTAAGCTTCACTGAGGGCACTTAAGGTGCTATCTTTACGCACGAACTACTTCTCATGGCGGACGGAATGGAAAGCTCGGCATTTTGACAGGTGATAAGGTTATAGTAACGGTAATGTATTAGTTGATAAAGTGATTTGCGTAGAGTGTGGTTAGATGTCAATATACGAGCAAACAGATGGAAGTTTCGACCATTAATACATACACAACACATGAAAGTAACGTTTGTTGTCTAGGGGGACAATGGAGACATGTGATGGGAACAAATTCAGAACGCGGCTTTAATTAGATCATCCGCATCCATTCAAAAGACTGAGTGAATGAGCGGGTTGTGTTATGTGCCGCTCTGAACATTACTTCAGTCATAGCGTGTCAGATTATGTGGGAGGAAAGTCGAAAATATCTAGAGACGTTTCACATGTCGTTAAAAGGCGAATTTCGGATTCGAGCTACAGATCCTTGTGTGAATCTAGGCGCCTTAGACGACTATGTTATCCACAACCCCTAAAATAGATGGAGTAAGAGATTTCTCCACTATTATTAGATTTTTGTTAAGCTGAGTTGTAAATGCACAATGATTCATGGGTATAGCTCTTTACGAATCGGTACTTGCGATTTAATTTTACTTTTCAGTGGATATGTTTTATGGGCAAATACAACTCTGACTACCTTCAAGATTATTGCGAAACGAATATTCTTTTCTTTATGGCCACCACTGCAGTCATGTTGAGTTTCAAAGATTCAAAGACTGTCTGAGTATATTAACAAGGACTGACAGGGACACCTTCAATGATGGATTTTGATCACCTAAACCATTTAGGGACACCTATAAATATATATTGTTGCCACCAACGAAGATCAATTAGGGTCACCGCTACAGGTGAATTGAAATCAGCTATGACTGACTGACTGAGTTTGGTTTTACGCCGCTTTTAGCAATATTCCAGCAACAGCACGGCGGGGGACACCAGAAATGGGCTTCACACATTGTACCCATGTGGGGATTCGAACCCGGGTATTCGGCGTGACGAGCCAACGCTTTAACCACTAGGCTACCCCACCGCCCCAAATCAGCTATGAAGATGAACAGGATTATCTTCAGCGATGAATTCGGATGCAGATCTTCTGGGACCACTTAAATGCCATATCAGATTTCCAGCAATGGTCAAATTGGTCACCATTACAGCTGAATTGGGACCAAGTACATGTACAAAGATAGACTGAGGTTACCTACAAAGATGGACATTACGAAAGATTGAGTCAGACACCATCAAGGACTGATTGAGTCACCCATGATAAATTAGACATCACATGTAATGAATTCGGACATTAACTGGAACCTCACGAAAATTGCTTTCGGACACAACCAAAGATGGATTAAGACACCGCCAGATGGCTTAGGACATCACCAAAGATGAACTGGGATTTCAGACAATGATTGACCAGGAGACCATCAAAGGTACACTGCATCGGACCCATTGCTACATACAGTGACCGACACGTTCGTGAGGATCTTCTGACAATATTCCAGCTGTTCACAGATAGAGAATGATGGGGAAGGGACTGAAAACTAATTAAGGGAGAAAACCTCGGGTTAGGTACAGCAACAATCCATTGCCATAACACGCCATTGCAATGCTTCAAACAGTACCCCTTCCGTTGTCTGGTGCCGTGGCGTTGACACTTGTATTGGTGGCTCAAAAACAACTTCATTTCTGATTTCATTTGTCCTCAGTCTCCAGGCTGATTTTCTACTTCCTGGGTTCACACAAATGTCGGGATTCCAGCTCTGCCCTTCCTCCATCATGGCAACTGGTCCCCACTGCTGATTGACAGACTGTGGACTACCACCAATAAGGAGAAGCTCAGTGATGGAATTTGTCTCACCACTTGAGAAACTCTATAATTGTTTAACTCCTCAATATAGTCCATGAAAGTCATAATATGTTATATTAATGTTATTACTGAATTGAATTGTCTAACTGTCAAATTTAGACAACGCGAGTGAATATGGGAGTTCGGTTTAAGGTCGCTTTCAGCAGTATTTCAGTATTATCACTTTGTGTCAGATGGGTTTGAGAAGGAAGTCCGACTTAATGCAAGTCTTCCACGTTTTACATACTGCTCTTATTACTACCGGTGTAATCGACGATTACTGTATGGAGCTGACAATCCAAGAAACATTAATCAGGACGTTGGGAACATAAGAATGACTTTGATATATGCATCGAGATGAAATCACAAACTAACATTTCTTCATTATGTTCTCGGTTAGACTTACGGCCTTAGTTGCGATGGTTGCATCTAGGGGGTTATACTCGCTGTAATACCAGGCGCCTGTAAGACGCTTTACCGTAGCATTGTGTCAACCATCGCCCCCACACACCGCCGTGTGATAGGAGATCCCAGCGAATCATATAATGGTTAAACTTAATGCCATCTATAAATACCAACTATAATAATCCACTATTGACAAATCCAGCGATCGGCGTTCGTGTCTACTGGCTGGGGTAGCTGATGATTGATTTTCCCCAAATCAGCGTGGTCCCCCCTCGCGTCACCCAAGCCACCTTCCCATTTATCAAACCCCTTCTGAATGAGCGTTATCCCCCACAACTAGGGTGAGGGATTTTGACACCCGGGAGGGGACGGAAAACTAATTGAGGGAGTAGGCCTTGGGTTAGGTATAGCTGCAATCTACTGCCATAACACCCCATTGAAATGCTTCAAAAAGAATCCCTTCCCTTGTCAGGAGGTGCCGTGACGCTGACACTTGTATTGGTGGCTCAAAAACAACTTTATTTCTGATTTCATTTGTCCTCAGTCTCCAGGCTGATTTCCTACTTCCTCAGCTGCCCGACAAAAGAAGGTATACCACTCTGGTTTGTAGTGGCTAAGTGAAACAAAGAAGAAAGGCTTATTCGATCGTGAAGTATTTTGTCAATGTTTAGGACATTAAGTTGGCAGTGTTGAGGCGATGGTTTTCAGCCTAGTATTTTAGATAACTTTGGTAATGTTTTGGTCAAATGCAATGTTTAGTGAATCATTCCTTCTGTAGGCGTACGCTCTTGCTTTCCTCGTTTACACCTTGCCATAAAGTAGTATTCATCAATTACAGGGACAGTGTCAATTCTTTTAAAGATATGAATCTTGAGATCGCATTCCAGCCTGTGCCAAACAACGTTTAGATTATAGCTTCAAGCAAAAAACTTAGCACCATTTTCATTTTAGTGTTATATGAGTGTTATTGTCTACGAACTGGACCGAACATAATTTCATTTGACTTATACTGGTATTGGTCACCTGCACCAGGACGGTCTTGAACAGATTTTATAGATGACATTGATCTCATCGTGCTATCAGTGACATTGTTCATTTGGTTAGGGATAGAAGGTAAAGGTAAAGATTTGCTATGTTTTCGTCAACCTGTTTTAATTCATTTTGCGTCTTCGTACTTACATTCAAAACTAAAACTGTCGAATATATACTTAAAGACATATATTCCCAGATTTACGTGTGAAGCATTGAGAAAACATCTCACCCATTCTCATCACTCACCCCCATCCACTTCTCAATTCCAATACCACTCTGTGAATGTGAACATGTAAACATGACAGAGTGAATATATCATCCCCATACACTAAGAAGAACATTCTAGAGAAATTACAATGACTTTATTAATGAACCTAATTACACATCCTTTCGCGAGTATTCATAATAGTGCAAAATTTCAAGTAATCAATACTGATAAAGATATTTTGACCTCTATTTCATAATTATCACAATATTCATATCGAAAATCTAGCAATGTCCAGCGTGAGAATCCATGATTAAACATGATCTCATTCTCACATCGAAAAGACTTATTGTTCACCTGAGCTATGAGTTATATTTCGAATAACCATAGATACGATGTAAAACCTATTGTGTTTGTAGAAAATCAGTCATAAAAAGTGAAGTCTCTATGATTTCGGAGAACGGTTTAAAGTTCCATGATAACGTTTAAATGACACATAAATTCGTTTCGTCGACTGTACAATATATCTTCACGCAATCACAGGTTGTAGATATCTCTCGTACATATTGTCGTCAGTAGCAAATGAGAAAAATATGTAATAAATTCATTCTAAAACAAATATGTAGAATGGATTTGTCACAATATTGCGCATCAGTATTGGCTTAAAGTTATTTTGCGACAAAATACTTCCTACTCGGGTGTATGAAAATAACATCTACAGTCGTTTCTATATAATCCATGTCTGTTGATATGCAGATTCTAGACACCACTTAAAGACAATGCGTGATATTACATTGGTTAAACTAGCTTACGATTTACTATGTATTGTGATGAGACACTTGAGTGAATCTTCAGCAAATACATCTCCAGACTGTTGAAGTATTATTTGAATAACATCCAATACTTTAGGCTATAGCAACCATATACATCATGTTTTAACATAGTTTAGTGGGCCAATGAACAGTCCCTATCACGCTACAAACTGAAGCTTAAGTCACTGTGTCACCAGATAATCTATGGGCAACTCCCCTCAACAGATCTGCTTTTGTTATTGACGCGTATATTTATGTCAAAAACATGGCAGTTAATGAACCACAGGAAAATTTAATACCACACGCAGACCGATTTCAGAACTCAGTTTGGAATTTTAGGATACCTTTTTTCTTAGGGGTTTTGGTGCATTTGCAAATATTTTTTTACTCAGCCGGCCAGGAGAGCTTGAATTTATTGGTCAATTTAGTCATATTGAGTTCATATTTTTTTTCCGGTTATGTCATCTGTACTGTCGATTTGGTTTGGAGATATCCATTCTGCACAGTGTGTGTTAGAGACCAAGTTGACCGATATAACATCTTTAATCGCATTCTTAGAATTTATTTGACACTCTGTGATCAATCCTGTTTAAGGTGAAAGCAGCCGGGTGTTTCACGAGTACTGTCTAGCTCCTACAGCACTACATCAAGGCCAACAGACAAAAACGGCAGACTCGCCGACTCCGTTTTGATAAACTCAAGCGCTGTATGCAACGGTCTTTGTTTATTTTCTGCGAAAATCACACAACAATATATTTGACCAGGAAATCTGCAGTTTCAGGCTCCTGACGTCAGCCTACTCCTACACATTTTTGTAACTGTGATTAGTTTTGAAATTTTTCCTTCACAATAAATAATAAGCAAACAAAAGAAATTTAGAAAACATTTTTGAGTTAAACCAAGCGTGTTTCAACGTTTTAAGAGTTCGCCTTGATGTTAAAAGTTATTTTGATTTACAGTCCAAATTTGTTTGAGAAAAATAAGCATTATCTTTTGTTTTGAATACACCCAGTAACATAAATAATTATAATACATATTTTCGGACGAAGTCTCAAGTTACATTTGTGTGAAATAATCTACCATTCTTATACATGACAAAACAGGGCCTACTTCGTACACAGAAATATATTTATATATTTTTGCAACAATATACAGCAGATACAAGATGAAAAGTGTTTGATAGCAACGAAGAGTATGTCATCAAATCAATTCGTCGAAATTAAATTTTAAAGCCGAATTTCTGTCTGTTTCTTCTATATTGCTTATAATAATGCACTGATTATTGCAAAGGTGTTTTGTATTTTTCAAAAATAATCTGTTTACGTGAAAGTATAAGCTATATTACGTGGAATAAGTGGAACGGATAATAATACCCGTTAGTACAGAGCCCTACCTTAATCCGTGTATGAAATGGAAATACGTACTTGACTTTAATGTATGGGTATTACAAGGGTGTCGATACCTACTTCTGGTCTTGTCCAGGTGTATGTTTGAAGTTGGTGATTGGACACTTATTACGCCGTTTGATCTGAGATGGTCAATAAGTGCAGGGGGGACAACGAACGCCAAGGGTGTACAAGTGGCAGGGATGCCCTTTCCACAAGAGGACCACACAGAGACGATGCTCGAGGTGTCCGCGTCAGTGTTATGAGTGACGTATCGTACCAGCGTCTCACACGCTGATTGCAATCTACAAGCGAACCCGAATAGAAGGAGGATTAGTTTTAAAGCACAGTGCTTATGAGGTACAGTGTTGATGCTTGGTCTGATTTTAAGAACGAGTGTCCTCGGCTTGACGCGTCAAGCTTTCATTTAAATTTATAGTCATTAAATCTAAATTTATTGTATCCCGCTGTTTATCTTGTTGCGCTTCTGCAAAAAAATATATTTACTTTCTCTGAATCGGGAAGAGACATTTCCCTGTAAAATATTTCCTAGTCTTGTGACTTCTAACATTTCTTTCTTTTAACCTTCATTTGGTTGCGTGTTTATGAGATCAGTTTAGTTTACATTGTTATGCTGTTGTCTTGTTTAGATATAGAGAACATGATTTAAGAAAGCAACGGTGATGCTAGCCTCATTAGAAATAATGGTAGAAGTAGGTTGTGATAGAAGTAGCTCGTGGTAGAAATAGGCTGTGGTGGAAGTAGCCATAGTAACAAAGTTCATTTTACATTATCATAGACATAGTAGCTGTCGTAAATTAAGACGCGTTGTCGTTGGTACCAGATAAGCAGCAATTGTTAGACATCTTGTAGTACAAGGCTAGTAGTAACATTTAACTAGGCACTAGACTAAGCTGTAGTACTTACAGCTGTGACTATACATAACAGTAATGTGTTGTAGGGTTGTGGTTGTTTAAGACTAAAATACTAATATTTCACCAGTAGGGTCTGTAGCTCATAGCATCAGATAGATGCAGGCCTAGGAGTAGGCGATTGAAAACGAGACGCTCTTGTAATAGTAGACTGACTGACTGAGTTTGGTTTTACGCCGCTTTTAGCAATATTCCAGCAACATCACGGCGGGGGGACACCAGAAATATGCTTCACACATTGTACCCATGTGGGGATTCGAACCCGGGTATTCGGCGTGACGAGCCAACGCTTTAACCATTAGGCTACCCCACCGACCCCCGGTAATAGTAGACCAGCAGTATAGCGAGACAATGTACATGTAGTACGTATACAAAACTTCTAAAGTATGAAAATGTAATATTCTGTAGAGGAGGGAATATTGTTGGGACGCTACAATATGTGTTCAATCAGGTGATATTGGTTTTGTAGTTGTCGATGATGTTATTATTAAAATTAGGTGATATATTTAAATTACGTGACATATGATATATATTGAGGTACACGTGGGTACTTGTAGTTGTAATGGCGTCCTCAGCTACTACATCAAGGCGGTGTCGACGATGATGGAGTGAGTGAGTGAGTACGTGGACGTGAGTACATGACTCTTTACTCCACCTGATAGATCGAGTACAGTATAATGACACACTGTAAACCACGACCGACTCATGGTAGACATTATTTATACAGAGTTTGATAGAAGGACAAGCACCTTGCAGATCTGCCCTATTGCTCAATAGAGTCGGAGGAAAGGCTCAACGCGCACTCAACTCAACATTCTCGTTCATGCCGTTTGAGTAGACTCTGCATACTGATGAGATATTTGATTGATCTATGAAGGGTCTCAATTTAATCGTAGATATTCTTCCAAAACATATGTGTCAGGTATAAGAGGGGTATTGCGTAGCGGACTAACACCTGCAGGGAGCGAGGAGGAGGCAGGAGGGCAGGGTGGTGTAAGCAAACGCATGATGACAAGTCAACACTACATCGGACGTCCATCACTCTGACAAATCAGTTATATCACACACAAAACTAATGTTAAGGAACGGTATATAAATATCGGGAGGGTAAAGATACCTATGCATTCATGCCACAAGAAACCCAGTTACCCCACTGTGTGCAAAAACGTTTGTTTTAATGATGTTTTATATGAATAATATAATGTTTCGTTGAATAACATACAAATAATTATAATAGAAGCGACAAAACCCTTTCCACATAACTCATGTCGTTTAGAGACACGGGGTGGAATGGGGATACATTTATATGTAGTAGGCTACAATACTGTTTTTGAACTTGACGGTATGCTTCTCAGGGGTATTCGATCGTGTTTGATGTGGACAGAATATAGCGGTCTGTCGTGTAAAACAGATAGGGTATTTCACTGAAATAACCTGCATTGTAAACAAGCGTTAGATAACACGCTTGATGTATGTAAACAGGGCACCTTATGTTCATGTGGGATATATTGCAAACACTCACCTGAGGATCGTAAATTACAGGTACATTCAGCTAACTCCTGCAGTGATTCACCATGCACTGTGTCTATCTTTCATGGCGGTGTATTTCCTAAATACGTTTCCGAAATGTTCCGAAATGGCGTCCTACTTGACTGTAGAGCATCTGAGTGACCGTTATATGACAGAGAAGAGCTGTCATTAACATGAGATCGACCTGTCAACAAGAGAGGCGGAGCTGTCTGCCTTTCAACCAATCAGAAGACAGGGATTTATCGTCTGCTGTAATAACATGCGACTAATTGGACTATTTACCTGTCGGACATTTTCATGCCCAACAACAGTTACCTCCCCTCTTTAGCCCTACAGACAGGTATATCATTACGATGTTTATCTAAGCTGCAATCTGACGTTGTATTATCATTAAGGTGAATTTCCATTGGTTTGTACTGACACTTTTTGATTAACACATGCCGTAATATTTTCTCAATTCACTGCCTTATCGGGATTCGATATGGGTTCTATACACAAGCTCTTTGAAAAGCTTTTGAAACCTAATTTGATAGATTATCAAACTTGTCAATAACGCTTTCACCGGATACCCTATAAAGCCTAGGTAACGAAGGACAACATTTAAAAACAACATCCCTTTACATCTTGAGTTCATTTTTCCTAGAGTCTTAAAGACACATTTTGTCACAGACTGACAATTTAAAAAATGAAGTCGGCCAGTGTCACAACGTTTCTATGGGTAAAAACTAAACATTCCCAAAATAACACCATAACCCATTTGTGTTGTAAAACGAAAAAAATATCATATTTATAAATAAGGTGGCGCTTAAACACGGTACAGAAGCCCAAGATGGCCGATATACCCGGCATGACATCGCCTGTTAATAAAGCGTGGACGGTCAAACCTCTGTTATCTCTGGAATTAATGATTTTCTAAAAATGGATGAGTCTCGGCTGTCACCAGGAACAGCTTGACGCTACAACTGGATTCAAACACCACTCATAAATCATATCAAAGTGACCTTGGTAATTCCAAAATCACATCCCCAGATAGCATTCGGACGTTGGCCCAACGTTGGCAATGTTGGCAAAACCATTCTCTTCAAAAACTGATGTGAAAACTGCAGTGGCTGTAACAGGTGATACTTAAGGTATACTGATGATGAATTTGGGTCGGCAATGACTGGACCTCATCACAACTGATCCATACCAAGTGCCAGATAGGAAATCCTGATGATCCTTGCCAGGGCTCATGGTTTTGTCCAGGATTCTAAAGTGTCCAGGCAGGGGGAAAGTCGTTATTTTGTGAAATGTTTTCATTTGTTAAATTCAGACGTAGAGTGAATGAGTGAGTATGGTTTTACGCCGCTTTTAGCAATAATCCAGCAATATCGAGGCGGGGGACACCAGAAATGGGCTTCACACATTGCACCCATTGTTGGGAATCGAACCCGGCGTGACGAGCTAACGCTTTAACCAATAGGCTATCCTGCCTCCCCAAAATTCAGAGGAAGACGTGTTAACTTTTACATTTGGCTTTGCATTCAATGCAATAACATGGGATAACACACTCCTCCTACTTATTCGTGCTGTTGTCACTGAACTGCAGTAAATGTCTACAAATCCAAAAAAAAGTAGCCATGTTTAAGATGAATTTGAATTCTAATAATTCTTTTGTGATTTCTTTTCACATTTCCTCCAATTCCTGGTTACTTTTCTACCTATTATTATCAATGACAATAGGAGAGCGGTTATGTTTTGGCATGATTTCGATGAGGTTTTGTTTTCAGCTGGGAAGGGGAAGGGAGTGAGAGTAGTTGCAGGATTCTTTCGTCCAGGAATGTTCCGTTTTGCACATTCTCATTCCTAAAATATGTTAAAACAATTTAACAAGTGAGGGTATAGGTGACATACCAATGTTTCATCACTGAATACTACACTTAAACATTTTACATTCTTGTGAATTGAAATAGTCAGAAATACACTGTTCAAGCTATTTCATTCCTTGGTAGTGAGTCCTTTTTGTTTAATGCCACAGTCAACACTATTCCAGCTATATCACGGCGACCAGACAAACGAGTGATCGATGGTTGAACAACGATCTGTGGCATCGTAGGATGACAGGCATTTGGAAGAGTTACAGAGGAGGGTCAGCGATCCCCATATTAGTTGGCTATTGCCATTACCATAAAATACAGGGGACCTTTTCTGGCCAAGAATCATTTCAGGTGAGAATATAGGTCCCGGGAATATTCCTAAATCAATACATAATTTTACATTCAATATAAATCGACAATCACAAACAGACATCTCATCTAGACGTCTCATCGATACACAGACATTCTCTGTGTGTGCCCCACCCTGCCTGCACAGACGATACCCCGGTTACGGATAGCGCCACCTGGTGACAATGCGTGTCAGACGAGTGATAGACAGGGGAGATAACACCACAATGCGAAGGAGGACATGATGTGAGAAATGGAACGACTCTCTGTGTTCATCTTTTGGTTATCAGACAGGAATGTACACCTCGATAATAGACACAAACAGAACAAATGTCGACGATAATGTGGTTATTTCGGGGATATATTGTATGCAGTATCAACACCGAATACAGGGCGTAAACCTTTAGGCGAGGCACGACTGACTAAAAGAAATACCATATTAATATTATCATTCCGGCGGTTGTCTAAAATAGTCGATTAAGCTAAGCGTATCTTATTATACAGTCAAATGTTTGCATAGGAATTCCGTAAATAAATGGAGCACTGTAATGTCAACGGGGATTCCTCACTTACTCAAATATGAGAGATTCTTTCGACAGCATAATAAGCACAAATATTTCAATATAATTATGACATCCTGAAAGTTCAATGCCGATTTCCAACCCCTCTCCTAGTAATGAAATCAGAGATTTCAAATGTTGTACGTAGCTCAGGATGTTTTAGAATCGCTTCGGATAAAACTGAAGTAAAATTAAGTCAAATCGTAAGATTATTGAATTAAGTTAATTTATAGAATTGAACAAACGCATTTTCCCCATTATGTCAAATAAGTGTCACGCAGAAAGCCGTCTTCTTCCCCGTAAAATAATAATGACAATCGTACGGAACTTCATACGATACGATGACAGAATGACATCGTTAAAAACGTCATATATAAATATCACAGTTTGTTAAACCTTATTTATGCACCTAGTTGGCTGTCGAATGAAATGGAAAGGTAATCTGTGTTTGTTGGAGTGCTTTCATATAATGTATGATGGACCCAGACTGTACGACATATTTCAGAAACAATTGAATATTTCATACTGTTCGTGATCTGTTGTGAATAATGGGCCCGTGGCGGGTGCTAAGGAGAATATACGAACACCATTCTACCGTGCGTCGCCGTCTCTGAGGTTTCACACATCCTCAAATCATTAGTGCTCGAGTAGCAACAAAAAATATTAATCAGTCACATCACTTTCGAGACAAATAGCAGAGTACATTAATCGGACTGTGTTCGAGATAATGCAGGCAAAAAACATTGGCATGCCACTGTCCATTCCTGACAAAGAATGCAGCGTTCAAGCAGCAGAATGACATCACACAGATGTTTTCAACCATCACGGCTTAAACATCTTTTTCATCATTTCAAACAGCACAAGGACCAAGAAATAAAATTTTAAAATAAAAATATCATACCATTCTTCCTTACAGCTTTAATATATACCTTTAAATGTGTTGTAATGTTTTGTTCGGTTGTGATTGCTATACTAAACCTGACTGGAAGCGATACACACTCCTCAAATGGAAATAGGGGATGCTTTGTACGAAAAGGTTTGGTCCCGTGCTCTGCATGGTATACGGCGATGGAAACCGGACTGAGGGGATTTGGTATATACTGAAGATGCATTTCATGCAAGTTGGTCACGGGCTCATGAAAATACATAGAAATATCTCACCCGAACTCAGATTTAATCTTTACATACCATATACTTAGTGTTGATATGAATATATTTCGTCAGTATAATTTGTCGCTATCCTTAGTCTATTTTATGATCAAATAGAGCACTCGCTGTTCGTCTGTGATCGGTTCGAGATAAAAATCACAACAGAAATTCTGCAGATTTGCAACGGCTTTATACACCATTCTCGATGAATTTTGACTTCCCCTCGAAATTGTGTGAAGTTAAAATCAACAAGGTAGCTCCAAACAGCCATGTAGAAAATATATAAATCTTGAACTGGGAAACAAATCTATCACACCAGCGTAATTTCATTAAAAAGAAAAAAATTGCTGTTAAAATATATTTCACGAAGTTATGACCTTATTTACAATACAATATCGAGATTAAACTATATTTATCACTCACGTATCTGAATTTTATTTCGCAGTCTCAGTCATATTTTAAAAAATTAAATATTGAGATGTATTAAATATTGGTTTTGCATTCAGACAACTCATATCCTCTACTTTACCCCTTAAACGGTTATGATATATACAAGCAGCACGTGTGCTTAGATATTTCACTGAGTGAGTATGTTTAAACAGCGACAACCCTATAACGAATCATAGACAGTTTACTATGCATGTATACTAGCATAATAATGTGTTCAAATATTTTTTGTGAAAATGCTAAATTTAGTCGTGTTTATCTCTAACACGGAAATGTTACGGAACAGTCACATCACTGGGTTGAGTGTGATGGTATACTTTGCACCGTCATTCCTTCGTTCTTTATTAATGGATCTCTAGCCATACGAACTGGATGCTTGACTGACAGAGGGACTTCAGCTGAGGTCATTTTCAAACTGACTGAAAGTCGATATGCGATTTCGAAGTTTTTTAATATACTCATGCCAATAATGGTTGTCACCCCCCTCCCCACACCAACCCCACCCCACACCCACACCCTACACTCCCTCTCCAATAAAAAAATTGAAGGGGGTGACAACCATTATTGGCATGAGCATATATTGTATTGTATATTGGAGTGGTAGCAAAATATTACCTCTTGTCTTGTTTGGATTTTTAAACATAAAAAGATATACCACATAATATTAACCATGCTAAGTTCAAGCATAACATGTAAGTATCAATGAAATATATGAATTCAGAATTATTGTTATTAACATAAAACTATAAATTGGGGAAAACAGTTCCTTATTCAAAATCC